CGGAAATCCATTGCGATGCTCCGGTTCGCCTCTGTTTGCAATTGTTCTCGGGATGCGTGCCAAGCTCCGGAAGGCTGCCGATTTCTGATTTGCTGCAACAGAGAGCAACACAGGGGCATGGCAAAGTATTTTCACATATGTATGCATGACTACTCTTCAGGGAGTGTAGTTCTCGATCCTCGTGCCACCAATCACACATCTCGATGCATGATGGCCGAGGAGTCGATTTGCACGACTCAATATGAAATGAATGCACATATGGACACAACAAGGCCTAGACTCCATCATGGATAATCCGGAGTGTCGGCGACCAGGAATTGAGACACGTTCCATCACTCGGAGTACGAAACGTCCCTCATTTCTCGTGCTTGGGCTAACTCCTATCCCAAGCACAATGCAATATGCATGACATGCATGAATGCAATCCTAACATGCAACCTAGCATACACAATGCTATGAAATGGCACACACAATGCACGATGTAACGAGACATACACAATGCTCTAACATACAACCTTGCATACGCAATGCTATGAAATGAAATGGCATACACAATGCATAACGGACTTATACTAACATGAGTGGACCTCAGCCACACTCACATCAGTAGCCAGTAGATGAAAAATGAGACTCTTGAAATACGTGCACGCATGCACGCAAACCGAGGACCAAACCTAAGGCAACAAATGTCACTCTACCAAAGCATGGCAAGGCATGGAACATGGTATGCAAACATGCAAATTTCAGTGCTTAAATATGATACAAAACAGCCCTGAAACATAGAAACATGGCACCCGATGCATGAGATAAACCCCTAAACTCAAAATTAGGCGCATGGAATGACTTATAGCTATACAAAGCATGCATTATTTGATGATGAAGCATGAAGACAGAGGCAAGAAAGTCTCAAAACATGCATATTTCCAGTTTATAACAAGCCTCAGAAATGAATGCAAATAGGGCTAATCTATCATACAAAAATGGCCCCAAAAGAGAGATTAAACACAAAGGGACAGAAGCTGGCCCCAAATGGCAAAGAGCCCTTCAACAAAGTTGAAGAGGGGCCCAAAATTGGGCACTTTACAGTTTACATCAAGCCACGAAAATAATCACAAATAAGGCCAAACTATCATGCAAGAAAAGGGCTAAAATAGGGATTAAACACAAAGGGACAGCAGCTGGCCCCAAATGGAAAAGAGCCATTCAACAATGTTGAAGAGGGGCTCAAAACAAGATATTTTAAAGTTTATGGAAAGATCCAAAACAGCTCACAAATAGGCCTAAAATACTATGCAAAAATTGGCCTAAAAGAGAGATAAAGAAGCAAGTGATAGCTGCTGGCCTCAAACAGAGAAAGACCCTTAATCAAACATGAAAAGGGGCTCAAAATATGACTATTTACATTTTGGGTCGGATTCCAAAAATGCAAGCAAGTATGGCTTAGATACAAAGCAAAATAAGGCACAAAAGAGGGAAAATGGGACTCACCCTTTTAAACCAATGCTTTAACAACTTTTGGGCCAAGTTTGGGAGTTCTTCACCTCTGGAAAGCAGCCTCAAGTTGTTGGAATGGAGGATGGAGGTGTGGTGCTATGAGGTGGTGTAGAAATGGTCCAAGAACAAAGGTGTTTTGAGGCTTGGAAGAGAAGGAGAGGGAGGATGAATGCAAGAGCTCCAATGGATTTTTCTAACCCTCCAAAAATGCAGCTGAGGGTGCTGGTTTTATAGGGAAAGGAGTGGAGGAAAGGGGGGGAAAATGGGGGGGAAAACCAATTTAAATTTCCCCCCAAAAGGAAAGACCCTCGGGTATAGGGTCTGGAGGAAAACAAATTGCACACCTGGAACACACTTGGGGAGGGGATCATGGCCGGCCAGCTCAAAAGGGCCAAAAAGGTCATCTAACCAGGTAGGTGGCCAGCCTGCCACCTTTTCTGGTCGGCCTGCTACTTTTCAGGACAAAAAATGGGTCTGCCGGAAAGAAAGGTGGTCGGTCAGTGATAGGGAAGTCCAATGGTGGCCGTTCAATTGTCCAAATTGAAGCCCTGGAAGTTATATTTCCAATGGCGCAAACCTTGCATTAAAATTCCTCCTGTGAAAAACGTTATGCCTATTTTGGTGAAGCCGCGCAGATTCGGTCCAACCGGAGTGATGCCCTACTTCAATCAACCATATCTCCCCCGTCTGGAATTGACTTTAGGAGATTCTTGAGTGAAAAATGAAGCTTCGGAAGTCTTATTTCCAACGGTGGTGGCCTCATAGCTTGATTCCAAGTATGCAAATGAATAGGCCCGATTCGGCGAGGGCTGTTTGCCTTTTTCTTAACGGTTCATGCCCATTTTCTCCCCCAACTGGATTTCTTCCCTCTTCTCCTCTTTTCTTCAACTCCAAACCCCTAAGTAAGGTGTTTTGAAAGATTTTTCAAAGATTTCATCTCTCTTTCGTTCATTTCCACTTTGTCCTTGCTCGATTTACCGAAAAGTGCAACATTTGACAAAATGCGAGCCTCGGAACATCGTAAAAACTTTATTTCAAAAACATTTTGAAAGAGGGGGTTTTAAGACTAAAATCTTTTGATCAAGATCGTTTTGGTCCAAAAAAAAAGGGTATGAAGTTGAGATCCGACTCTATCTCCTTGCCGAAGAAATTAAACCTTTGCACTGCCCAACTTCCAAAACCATCAGTCGCGTCCAAGTCTTGAAGGTGGTCAAAAATGGGGTGTCTACACCGAGCGAAAAAATCATGCAACCAATACTTTTGCAGACTTTGCAGACCGCTCAAGCGACTGATGTTGTGCTCGAGCGAACTACCCTCTTTTTGAAAATTTGACTAACTGTTGCAAATCACATTTTGCCATCCTCATTGAATCTTAGGTATTCCTAAGCCCTAATTAAGACATAATAATGAGGATGAAGACTAGAAACACACCAAAATAAATAAGAAATGAGTTAAGTATTTTCCGAGAGTGTGTTTCAATGTGTATCCATTATGTGTTTGTGTAGGTCACGCGCCATAGATCGTTGATCCGACTATTTTGACTCTTCTGCTATTGCGTTATCTGTGAGTAACAACTTTGTAAAGATATGTTGACTATAAGTATTTTCTGACCAAAATGATATGATTTGTTTTCTGAAATGCTATTTTATGAATCATGAATAAATGTCCATTTTTCTAAAATGTATTTGTGGCATCCTTAGTTCACGTAGCCCTTGCCTGGGGGTAACAATACCGTGACTTATGTTCATGTAGCCCTTGCCCGAGGGTAACAATACTGAGGCCTATGTTCACATGGCTCTTGCCTAAGGGTAATAATACCGTGGCTAATTGTGCACAAAGATGTTGAACTTTATGGTCATCGGTACCGACTATGCATGTGGGCCTTATGACCAATCTGATCTGATAGCTAACGGATGTACCACATATAACTACTTATGAAATCTGTATAAGTATGCGAATTGGAATCTGTATCTAATATGAACTCTGATTTTTTAATCTGAATTGGACATCATTCGTAACCCTTTACTCTGTTGTTATTCATTGGGCTCCGCTCACCGTATTATTTATGTGTGTAGGGGATCAGGCGCGGGGACCAGGCTCAGTGAGGTTCGCCCTAGAGATTTTGTTGAGTCAGCCAACCGTGTGCACCTCCCAAGGAGTTCTAAATGTTTTGTGATCGAGTTTTGTGAACATAATGCAAGTTTAAGTTATTTTCTTTTGTTTGTTTGGTTAGTTTCTTTGGTTTATTTGTATCTAGGTGATGTTAAGATTGATATTCTGATGACATCACAATATGTTGTAAATATAAGTTTTTAAATTTTCTGTCCCATGTATGTCTACACAGCTCTATGGATGTTGTATATTTGTATTTTCTTCCGCTATCCTTGTATTTGTTTAATTTGTTCTGAAGGCCTTTGGTAATTCCTAGGATTACTAGCCGGTTATTGAAAATAAACCCATAGGAGCGGGTTTGGGTCATGAATATATCTTCTAGCAACTGTTCTAAGGCTATCATTCCCCTGACTCTTGTATATAGTTGTATTAGCTATACGTATCATACTATTACACCATATGATCTCAGCCTCTTACCATTCACAATGGAATTGGTACCTTGTTTGTAAGCCATAATCCCCTTCGTAGCATCTTTTGTCCCAATGTTTCAAAATATATTGACTTGGAATTGCAGTCAAATTTTTTATACTAAAAACCCTCAATGCATGACAGCAAAGAACTCCTAATGATTCAAACTTCTAACAAGAGCAAGAAATATTGTTAGTGAGATGATCAAAGTGAACAATACGTACCCTTTCACTATTTTCTTCTTCCAACTCAAGAGACGTCAACTGTATCTTGACAATCAACTTGCTTCCATGCCATTGCAAGACTATTGAGAAATTCATTTTCAAATAATTTAAAATATCTTGCAAGTGTAAACCTAAGCTACATGACCCAAAAATACCACTTTTTTTTCTTACTACTTTTTGGGGGACGTTGCTGCATCAAAAAATCTTCATCCAACTTTGAAGAACGCATATCTGCCACTAAATTGTCATATTCAATAACAAAGTTAGGTGAGACTAGTTATTTTACCTGTTATGTTATTCAAAACATGATTTGCACTTTCACTCCTTGAGGAAGCTTTAAATTCAGCCGGTGAAGCTATCCTTAGTGAATGCAATGCTCCACTTGTGTCGAATCTTGTACATCATATTAAGCCACCGATGACTCTCCAAACTAAACTTTTGTATCATTTTATCCCAAGTTTGTTGAAATTCTATTGTAGAATCACAATATTTTTGGCACTTGTTGAAAAGGTACTTGAACTCTGTGTTAGTATTTAATTCCCCCAAATGAGAAGGAGCATTTTTTGAAATATGCTACAAACATAGTCAATGATGTGTATTTGGAAATACTGCCTCAATAGCATTAGACATGGCTTGATTTTGGTCAGTAAAAATTGTAACCGGAAACCGATTCCCCATTGATTCTAAAAATGATTTAAAAAATCATATAAATGAATTAGTGGTTTCATCCAAAAGGAAAGCACAACCAAACATCACATTTTGCCAATGGTGGTTAACACCAACAAATGGAGCACAAATCAAATTATACTTATTGGTGCGATAGGTGGTATCGAAAACAACCACATCTCCAAAGCAATCATAATCAACCCTTGATCTCCCATCTGTCCAGAAAAAATTAGTCATGCGATTTTCTTGATCTACTTGAACAGTGAAAAAGAACATAGGATCTTCTGTATGTTTCTACTTAAAATGATTCAATAGGCTTTGAGCATCTCCAGCACTAATCATTGTCATTTTTGCTTGTTCACATAATTATAACAATCCCTTTTGGTAAAACCCACATTCTCACTGCCTCCAACTTCTTCTCTTAGATATGAATAAGCATTCTTTGTGCTTATACCTGCATTTATCATAGAATTAATCACACCTGCCTTCGGTTTTGAAATGTGACGAGCAGATCTTAGCAAATGTCGCTCTGATTGTAATGCAAGTTCATGATTATGTTCAGGATTGAAGGCAGTAACCCTCCAAATTCCATCTTCAACAATTAAACGAATAAATGCTTTGCAACCAATTCTAGTCTCCAGCCTATTCAATTTTTCCTTTTCACAAGGGTCTTCATCTATTTTAAAACCCTCTTTAGAACATAAAAATTGATGTTGCCTTATGTTCTTTGATCCACTATAATATCTTGGCTTTCCTTTCCGAATACTAAAACCCATTCGTAATGCATAATTGTTGTATAAAGCATATTCTTCGTCTTCACTACATACCAGCTTATCTAACAAATTGTCATCACTATTTTCTTACCTTGCAACAAACATGCAGTCACGTTCACTTCTTTCAGCATCATTAGTAGTGTTAATTTTTGCAATAATTCTTGTATTAAATGTTAGAAACTACAATCATATTTTTATTACAAAAATAATAATAATAATAATGTTAGTACGGTATGCCTTATTTAAGGCCTAAATCATGAGCACTTTTTTCATGTTGGGACAATATGGCCAAGATGTTGCCTTTTACCATTTTGATTGATAAGGATTCATTAATTTATATTGATATTTGAGAAGACAACATAAAAAATTAATAAGTATGATTGGTGGGGAATAATATTGTTATGTGATACTCTCTTAACACTTAATTTTTTTTTTTTTTAAATTACACTCAATTGCAAAATTCTTGTAAGCTAGACACAAATAATATTATTGAAAACTAAAATCATATTAATATAATAAGTTCTTCCAAACTATCTAAAGTTCTTCTATACTTTTTTTTATATTTTGGTCAATTTTTTATTTACTTTTAAATATATCAAGATTAGATACATCTAATATATATATATATATATATATATATTTAACTAAAATTAAAAAAAATAACTAAAATAAAAATAAAAATAAAAAATTTACTAAAAACAAACGAAACCCAAACAAAAATACACACATAATTTTGTTTGGATTTTTATTTGTTTTTAATAATTTTTTTATACATTTTAGTCAATTTTATTTATTTTTTAAATACATCTAGAATCTATTTTTTTTATAAAAAAAAATTGATTATCATATAAAAAATTCATAAAAAACGAATAAAAAAAATTATTTTAAAAGTAATATTTGAATAATCAAATAAACCAAGCATAAATATCATCATATCAGTATAAGCCATCCTAAAAGTATCTAAATAATTATCGAAAGTCATATCACAAAATATGCCACAAATCATAATTATTTTTTTTAAAGAAAATAACAAAATATATCTTCTTTGATTTGAAAATCTTCGGGTGTGTTTGGTTTGTGTTTATAGAGTAATTTTTGAGATAAAAAGTATGAAAACTTATGTAGTTTGCCTTTTTTCAGAAATAGTTTTGACAAATTATTTTGAGGAGAGAGTTTTAAAAAAAGTAATTGATTTGATATGTATGAGAGAGAATGATTTTGAAAAGTAAGTAACCAAACAAAATTTTGAATTTTTTTTTTTAAAAAAATTATTTGATTTAATTACTCTTAAAAATTCATTTATAGACAATTTTTCATAAAACTTTTTTTAAAAAACAAACCAAACAAGCCTTTCATCTTTCATTTGTCATAGGCCAGAAAATAACACAGGACTACCGCCTTTTCCCTTTTCTTGATTTTTCGGCAATGATGAATTTGCTGAGAGTAGGGTTTAGTGTATGACTTATGTTTTAATTATTTTTTATTAATTTGTGGGGTTAAAATATTTTTTGAGAAGATTTCTCTGCCTAACTTCCTTCCCACAATTTCCATTTTTTATTTTTATTTTATTTTATTTTATTTTATTTTTGGAGGTTAACAGATATCTAGTTTAAGAGTTACTAGGATAGTTTGAGATGTTCTAAATAAATATATTTTTTGACTTTTTATAAAATATAAATTGGATTTAAAGTGATGTGGTAGAAAAATAATGTAATTTAAATAAGATGATGTGACTTAAATAAGATAGTGACTTTTTAACTTTTTTTAGTATATGATAAACAAGGCCCGAGTTGTCAATGTGACGGACCTACTGACACCATGGTAAAATAGAGTATTTTGAATGGTGCAGAGCACGACGTCAGATAGATGAGTTGGTATTTCTGAATTAGACCATCTCCAACGCTTCACCAAACCTGGCATCAAATTTAAAATTTGGTGAAAAAGTCACTTTTTTGAGCTCCAACGGTTTCACCAAATCGATATCAAATCGAGAATTTACCAAACCTTTCACCAAAATGAGAACAGGCGCAGCATTTCACCAAATCACTGTTCCTAACCGTTGGGGGAGACCAACTGGTCGACCACTAAAGGGTTCAAACAGTTCAAAAAAAAGTTCAAACAGTTAAAAAAAAAATTTGCCTTACCGGTCAACCAACCGGTCGTCCCGGAAAAAGGTTTAGACAGTTCACTGAAAAGGTTCAAAAAATTCAAAAAAAAAAATTTTGCCTTCACCGGTCGACCAACCGGTTGTCCCAACGCAGATTTGATGAAAATTTGATTTGATGAACCATTGGAGCCCTCCGTATCAGAATGAGAAAAAAGTCACTTTTTTACTCATATTTGATGAAAATTTTGGTAAACCATTGGAGATGCTCTAAAATCCACAACTTATGTTAAGCATGAGAGAAAAGGAGAACTTGGCATTTAATGATTGATGAGGGACAAAGACACAATGTGGCTAGACGATCTAATAATATTTCCTAGAAGCTTTGATTCTTCGAAGTTATATAAGTGTACAACTTGTCTCAATCTCTCTTAGTCTTAGAGGTTGTTTGGAGTGTCCTAAATAAGTATACTTTTTGTCTTTTTAGACTAAAAAATTAAAGAAAAAAATATAGATGTTTGAGTTAACTTTTTGACTTTTTATGAAAAAAATATATATTAAAAAATTATATAAATTAGTGTGTAGGAAAAAATTAAAATTGGAAGTTGTGCAATAATGTTTTTTTTTTTTTTTTTTTTTTGCAATTGATATGTTAATTTTTATATATTTGAAAAAAATATTTTTTGAATTTTTTAAAATTTTTTATGGGCTTTAAATTAATTTTGAGTTGTATGTTTGGTTATGAGTTGTAAATTTTTGTATCAAATATCAAATGTCACATCTATAATTCTCCACTCAATTCAAAACTCTTTTCAAAACTCCTTACTAAACAATTTTTCACACTCAAATCATAATTCCAAATCTCACAAACTCAAAATACAACTCATACTCTCAAATCATAATTACAAAACTCTACCAAACGCAACCGATGTCTTTATAAACATACTATTTTGGTGTCTAAACCTTTAGATAAAGAAAATTTAAAATTAGATTTATTGCCTAAACATCTTGCTAAATAATAAAAATACAATTTATAATAATTATTATTTTCCGAAGGGTAGTACTATTATAACACGTGAATTTGGTTCTGCTGGAGATGTCCACTTGATTAGAGAAATAATTTGAAGTGCCCCATTAAATAATAAAGGGGTAAATTACACTCAGCGCTTCTGTGAAGCTTCTGACAATTATAGAAATTTTTTTTATGATTTTAATAATTACAGAAATTATTCTTACTTTTAAAATTATTATTAAAAAAATTTCACCGTTAATCTTATGTTAATTTGTTTAACAGAATATGATGACGTCATGCTAATATCATGTATTATGAGTAAAAAATTTCTAAATTGACCTTATATATTCAAATAGTAAATTTCACTCACTTCATGAGATTTTACAAAAAATAAATAAAAACCTATACATTATTTTCATAATGCTAAAAAAAATTATTAAATTCTATACAATATTTAAAAAAAATCTAAATTGTTAAGACAAGCATAAATATAAGCCCTGTTTGGTAGAACTTATTTCCAGTTTATTTCAACTTTTAGCTTAATTTAAGTTATTTTGATGTGTTTAGTTCAGCTTAACAATACAGCTTATAACTTTTTGTAAGTCAAAAATTAACTTATTCTTTGAGTGGGGAATGAGAAGCTTAATTTATAAGTCAAAAATCAGCTTATGTTCACAGCTATAAGCTATAAGCCTTTAAACTATAAGCTATAATTACTTTCTCACAGCTCTACCAAACGGGACCATAGTAGAATAATCAAACATTACCTTATCTGAAAAAAAAAAAAAAAAAATTTATAAAAAAATTAATAAAGACCCATACATTTATTTTAATAATGTTAAACAAAATTATTAAATTCTATACAAATTATTAAATTCTACACCTTATCTAAAATAAAAAAGAGCTAATAAATTGATCACCATTAAACCTTATACTAGATTAAATGCAATCATTTATTTGAAAATTATGAAACAAAGTATAAAAGATGTTTTATTTTTTAAAAAGGCCACCAATTTTATAAATAATTATTTTGAGAAATTAAAGTTTGACTAAAAATTTTAAAATACATATAGGCATTTGATTTTTTTTTTTCCGTATGAAAAATACATATTTAGAGAAATTATCCCTCTCTTTCCATTTTCTTTATTTTATTTCTTTCATTTTTCTTTCTATTTGTTTTCTTATTCGTTTTTTCATAGTGTCACCGCAGCAAATAGCATACCATATAATTTATTATTATTATTATTATTTGTTCTCTTCTCTATGTTTTTTCCTCAATTTTTTTCATCATTCTTTTTCTTTCATCACTGTTATACCATAGCAACTTACGAAACAAGAAATTTTCTTTTGTTTTGTAAACATATTTGAGTATTAATTTTTTTTAAGAAAAATAAACATAGTAACATTTCATATTTATAATAAAAAAAATAGACTTAAAAAATTTACGATATGTTACCTCATAAATATATATATATAAAAAAATTATCATTTTATCTTTTCACAATCCTATTTTATTTTGAAATTTTAATTATCATTAAAAAAATAAGTCAATATTTCTCAGCTTAAAAATAAATATAAAAGTGAAAAAAATATCTAATGACGTTACAGTAAATTAAAATTAGATGATAGGGAATGAAAGATAAAGAAATTATTTGAGAATAATAAACTATTTAAATTTGTCATTTCTTACATCTAATTAAAATAGATTTTACTTGAAGAAATAAATTATTTGAAAATAATAAAACACTCAAATAATTTGTTATTTACTACATCTAAAATCTATATATCCATCTTTGTTTCTTTCATTTAAATTATTTTTATTAAATTAAATCTCAAAATTAATTCAAATAATAAACATGGATATTCTTTATTAATTTCATTAATGGT